GCAAGTTTTTCAGCTTAACCTGCACATTTGCTAGGTGTTAAGTTCGGCGGCGCCACTCTGTTCTGTCACGTGGTCTGGGATCGGTGCGGCTGACCGTTCCGTGCCGGCTGGCGGAAGTGCAAACACGCTAGCGGCCGGGCGGCGCCGCGGCGGCCGGAGCGGCGACCTGGCCGGGCAGCCGGGCCGCGGACGACTGGAGCATGGCTGCAGTCGGCGTCACGGCCCCCGCCCAGCCGAGATTGGCCGCTGCTTCCGGCGCCGGCGGTCACCCGCTGCCGGGGCCGACCGGATTTCATTACAGCCCGGCCACGCACATAAACACAGCCGCCGCAGACGGCCGGGCAACCGCCAGGCACGTTTTTGCTGCCTACTATAAGCTTTTTTTGTCCGCCGCGTGCGCACTTGCTGGTTGGTTGAACTCCCGCAGAAAGGTAAATAAAGTCGCCCGCACAAAAACACCGCCTATGGCCGGTGAAGACGTTGCGCCGGGGCATGGGAGCGACGTCATTATACCGATGTGGCCGGAACAGGACGCATCTGGTTTATTGTTGTGGCGGAGCACCGCTGACCACATTTGGTCGGACAAAGCAGCCGCGGCTTTGACGCTGTCGTCCAGGCCGGTGGCGAATGATTCTTAAGATGCTGCACCATTCACGAATTCGGAACGCCTGGGGGTGTTGGATTGACAGCTGGTGACAGGGAAAACGAATGTCAGGGTAAAATGGGATCTGTAAGCGCGACAAAGGCCCTGGTGGGAATTGGGAAATGAATGAGTTGCCGATGAGCGAAGAAGACTGAGAACGGTGGGAAGTGCCTGTGAGAAGCTCGGAAGGCAAGGTATTCCCTCCAGAAACTTCATGAACGAGCCTCTTCGCCTGCTCGTGCTTTGTTAGTTTCCCGCGGTCCGTTAGCGCGTCCTGGCCTCCGCCCCGCCGGGCTGGCCTCGCCGTCCACAGCGCTCGACCCAGCAGCCCAGGGCCTGTGCAGGCGAACGGCTGAGCAGGCGTACCTGGCGTCGACCGCGCCGGTCCGGCCAAGCTGAAGACCACCGATGACGATCAGAGGGGCCAATTAACTGGCGCCATTGGTTGTCGATATCCAGAAGACAATGGCAATTGTTTCGTTCATCTAATTGTCGGAGATGCAGTCACGGATTGTTGGATTTGTTGCGTGCTCCAGATGCCGCCGACTCGAGAATGCGCACCGCCTTTAGTTCAGCCACGTGCGCCCCTAGCTAAGCGTGGATCCAAGCATGCAGCACAAAACATTTCGCAATTGTTTTTCTGTCCGAAGTTAGCAGGTCATTTCCCGGCAGCTCTCAATCCAGCACATACAAAAGCACTTGCAAAGAACTCAGCACACTCTCAGCCGCGGGTGCTGAGCCCGACTCTGACGTTTCGCGCAGTAAGCCCTCATTGTTCTGTAACTGGGAAGCAGACACGCTACTAATATGTGCAGATTACTGTCGTTAACGTTTAGGTCACTGCAGAAGTATGGTAAGTGCTATGGTCCATAACAAACCACAGCGCGTTTCCTGAACACTTAGGAACACATTGGTGCAAGTGCACAAAGGCCTTTTCTTTTGGCATCGGCAGGTGCAGTGCAAAAGGCTATTTGCTTTGACATTACCACCTTCCTATAAAGTTACGAATATCCTCCCCTGCTACGTCTGCGGAAAATAAAGAAAAAACGGTCATTTGTGCCACCCCTTTGGGGCACGCCACTTGTACGACGTCCACCCTGAGCCAATACGCTCTCGGGACATTTGCAGGCCATGGAGACAGGCTAGCCAAGTATTTCTGTCGTAGGTCGACCATGTCCCGGGCTGTGCACTTGCTTACAGTGTATACGTGTGAGGCTGTTTGAAGTCCGTACACGTCCTCACGTCTTACTGAGCGGAGATGTGCTCAGGCCGGCTCAGCAGGAGCCTAAGATCAGCATATTTACTCCTGTAGATATACGAACGCCACTCGTGGCAAAAATGTGCTGGAAGGCTACCAAAAAAAAAACGTTTTCGTACTGTTTCCAGGCACCTACTGTTGTAGACACAAAATCTGCACGTTCAATAAAGACGTATTTTAAACAAAGAAAGGACGTGTAACAGGACATCACGTGCTGTCACCCGGGGCAAGATAGGGAAGGACAGTGTAGAACAGAATAGAAAAGATAGCAGCACGGGGCAGAAGATGACAGCACAAAACGGGATGTAAGATACTTGAGGACGGGACCGTAGATGAGGGAGCAGAACAGAACGAACAGGATAGGACAGGACAAGAGACAGAATAGATCAGGACAGGGCTTGAGATACAAAACAGAGCATGAGACAAGATAAATCGGGGAAGGACTAGAGATGGGAGAACAGGACAAGACATGACTGAATCGGACAGGACATGACAGGACAGGATAGGAGACAAGATAGATCAGGACAGAGATGATCTCACGTTCTTGTCGGGGCCCATTCTGATAGCCTGCTCCTGCACATTCGCTCGCTCGGGGGCCAGCTGCAATGGATCTTGGGTACTTCGTATTAGAATGGAAGGTCCTACGTTCTTGTGGGAACCTTATCTGGTTAACCTGCTCGGGTGCACTCGATCGTTTGGGTGCCCTCCACATTGCGTCGTGGGTGTGGGTAATTTGAATGGAGGGCCCTGTGCTCTCGTCCGGGTCCTTACCTCTGGATAGTTCGGGCACATTCGACTATTCCTGGACCACCCATATTGTGTCTTGGGTATTTTTATTTGAGCGGATGGCTCTATATCCTTTTCGGGCCCCAGCTATCAAGCTATTCCGGTCAGTGGTGGAACCAGAGGGGGGGGGGGAGGGCACTGGAATCATGCCTGCCTTTGTGCACCGCGGGACCCATAAGCTCCGTAGCGGCCCATAACCGGTCGAACGGACGCAGTTTTCTTTCGCAGAGCTCAGCAAAATTGGACGTCTTTGGGCCTTCAGGCGACCAAGAACGGTCGCAAGCGAAAGTCGAAGAGTCCGTGAGCAGACAAAGTAAATTCTTCCCTGATTAAGAGAATGGTGAGTGGGAGACCTTTTGAGGCTAATTACGCTATCCAGAGGCGTTACGCTGTGTTCATGTTGCCCTTGATCTCTTCGCATCTTCCCGTAGCACCCTACGCTGCTGTCGGGGCACTATTTGCTAACATACTTGGGCACTCTTGATCGATCAGGGGCCCTCCACGGATTCTTTCCCCCCGCACGAAATGCTCTATACGCTCTTACCGTGCCCCAAAAAAACCGGGGTTTAACACAGTTGCGCAGAGACCCTTCACAAAAGTCTCAGGTTCTTTCCATTTGCTAGGAGGGCCTTGTATTGTTGCTGAGGCCCATATGAGGTGAGGCACCGAGCCGCTCGATGCTGAGGGGGCCCTCAGCATTAGAGGGCCCGCTCGATGCTGAGGGGCTCCCTACATTTCTGGTAGGGTTTCCTCAGCCCTAGATCTGCATTGATCTAGTACTCTTTTCCCTTGATCTCGTTTGCGGAGGATCCTTCATTCCTATTGCAGCCATTTATGTGAACCTGCCCGGGTACTCTTGAACGCACAGGTGCATTAATTCACGCACGCTGGTTTTGGGTGATTCCTCTTTGCTTAGAGGGCCCTGTGCTCTGGGCGGGGTTCTACATGTCAGCCTGCCGGAATGCTAGCAATCGTTCATAGGCCATCCAGACTGGTCTTGGGTTCTTCTCGCTTGCTCTGAGGACCCTACACTTGTTGATGGAAACCTCTTTGTTGGCCTGCCGCGATACCCATGATGCTCAGGTTCCGTCCCCATTAGCCTTGGTGCCTTAGCCTTACAGCAGCAGTCGGATATGCGAGGAATAATTTTACGCGCGATCGTTGAGCCTTACATCACGTGCAGCTGACGTTTTATGTCACATCCATTGGTTATTGAATTTGTGACATTATTATACTTGTGCACTGCGTCCTTCATGTGTTTCAATTGCTAGAATATTTTGCACTTCTCCGTACAAAAAAAATGCATTAGCCATCAGCAATCAGCTGATAACAGCGACCAGCCAGCGAGATGTAAATAAGCTAGGAATCAAGCTCGTGCATGGCTTTAATGATTTTTAGTTTAGGCTTATTACTGAAGATTATCTTGCCATGTTTTTCAGAAAGCTAGCCTCATAATGACAGGATTCATCATAATATGGAGAAAATTAATGATCTTCATGTGTCTTCATACGCGACACGCCCGGTTTTCCAGAGCTGCGCACAGTAAGATGGGTTCCCGTATGAAAATAACATACCATAAATCTTCAAAGTCAATGGCCGGAATGCAAGAACTTTTTAGGAGCCCTTAACTCTGGAGCGCGCGCAATGTTGTTTGCCCCCCCCCCCCCCCGACGAAATCCTGAATCCGTGCCTGAAGCCACCACGAAGGTTTCTTTCTGACGGCTAAGTATAGCTTTGTTGGTAGCATGGTATGCTTTAGTTCACTTAATAACATTATGGCGTGTCATCACCAGGGATTTAATATTATAGAGACGAAAACATTCACTATCGGCGTGCCACACGCTGCGAAGCCTGCAGATTTCAAAGAATACAAGGGTGGTTTATTTCGACCGCCCCCTTCCTGTACATTCAGTTCCCTGTGGTGCAAACGAATGATGCAGCCCAGCTCAAACCAACAGCATGATATTGCAAACCAACTCAAACCAGCATCATGGTATTGCAAACCAGCTCAAACCAACATCATGGTATTGCAAACCAGCTCAAACCAACATCATTCTATTGCAAATCAGCAACAATGCAAGATGAGCGCCTTTGAGAGGCTGCCATCCCGTACTGATTACGTATGTGGCAACCGCGGGGACGGGCTGCCGCCCGGGGAGGCGGCGCGTCCGGAAGGCGGCACCATTTTGTTCCGTTCCGTTCCGATCCGATTCGATCCCATTCAGTCCAGTCCGGTTTCGGCCAGTTCAGCTCCGTTACGTTCCATGCCGTTCCGATCCGTTCTGTTCCGTTCCGTTCCGGTCCACCGTTTGTCTGGAACAGTCGGCAGATGCTTTGGTGCAACCAGGAATTTTAATAAACGGGGAATCGTGAATTTTTGGTTTGAAGGGTGACATGAAGATATGACCGTTTTCAAAAAAGATTGCGGTGCAAAAATTTTAAAAGGTTTTTCAAAAAAAAACTTTCAGCGCTAATGTTCCAGCCGCACACATTTTAGCAGCGATTTTCACTAAAAGTGTTTCGCATAGACACGCGCGCCCGTAACGTTAACACGCGCCCGGGCGGCCGGCTAAATACCCTTCGCTAGGAAGCGGGGGTCAATTTCACCCCTGAGATCTCGGGAACTAATAGAGGTAGAGACACCAAATTCACAGAGTGTATTAACCTGTACGTGAACTCACTTCGGTCGAATTTCGAGGTTCCTAGGTCAGGATCTTCGGGTCAAATAAGGTCAAACAAGGTCAAATTCCAGGTTGGTATCTAAAGTGCCCCCAGAACCTAGATAACTGTTTCTAAGCACCAGGTCACATGCTCAGTTAAAGTCAGTGACCTTGTTTGACCTTTTGAAGGTGATTATCACCAAAAGCATAGAAGACTGCTCTGAGTTTTTTGCATTTGCATAAACGACAAAGATTATGCTAGACGGTATGTTTCTAAAAACAATATGTTGGCCGGGTTCATTTTAGGTCAACGACCTATTCTGACCTCTAACAAGTTCATGGAAGATGTATGATGCGGTTTCCGCTATTAAGTTCAAAATGAGCACCAGGAACTATGCCACACCGCAAGCCTTAGAGCAAGCTGGTTTTGACCTTGGTCTGACCTCTACACCTGACCTTAGGTCAACGTAATTTGCTCATTCCATATTTTTGTTGTCTAAGAAAGCATCTCAGAGATGTACGGTTTCGTATAATACTCCGTTGTTGCATCAGATTGAACGATTCCCTACAAATTGACTTTGCTCAAACCATGACCTGACTTTGACCTACCGTAGGTCAGCGTCTTTACAGGGTACATCTAAATATTTAAGCGAACGATCCGCTATTTAATTGTCTACAGCTCTGCAAAATTTGTCCTAGCTGCACCGCGTCGTTCGCAACCATTCTGGAAAAACCTTCGGATGGTCAATTTCACCCCCTCACCCGGGCGCGTGTTAAAAAATGTCTGTACAGACACATAATTTGACACTATTTCAGCTGGCTGGCTATAAAAAACATCATGGTTTTATGGACGGGTGTGATGTCACATTACTTCCTACCAAAACTTTTCAAGACTTTTTAAAAGTGATTCGGAAACATCTCTAACGCAAACGCGACTTAACAATGTCTTCTTTCCTATTTCCTTGTCGTTTCCCTGTTAATAAATTTGCAGCGCTTTCAGAGCCTCCTAACAGTACTCACAGAACTTACAGGGTTTACATACCTTAATATGATCCAAGATTAATGATCCTTGAATAAAATGATTTTCAAAGTTTGCCTTGCTCAACACGCTACCAGTGTAAACAAAATAATGGCGTAGCCAGCATCCAACATCCTCAACCGATTGACATTGCTGATTGCCAGTGCTAGTATTTTCTTAGACCGTCGGTAACCAAAGACATCGGTGGAATGAAGGTACAAAACTACGAGTATAAAAATACAGAAGTGCTTCGTTTGATATACTAAACTTGTTCTATAACGGATACACGTAGTTAGCCTATTATACGTTGATAAAATTGCATGAAAATAATATTTTCCTTGCCATGGTGTTAAATGTATACCAAAAATTTAAAGCAGCATCTCAGTTTTTGGTTTCAGGACTACTGACACCTGACTTGACGTGCTGCGGCTCCTGACACCTGACATCGGTTGCTTGCCGCATCTGCATTCAAACCGCATCTGCATACCACATGTCCACATACGTGGAATGCTGAAACTTCCAAATGACCCCTGGGGCATTATGACATCTGTTCTTACACTTCCACCGCACCGGAGACAGCTACGCGACCGTCACGGTGAGGGTCGCTGGACGGCGCAGGGCAGCGCACCGTCACACCGAGCCACCATTGTACCGGGGCCACCCGGCCGGCCGCGCTCCGTTCGGCGTCACCCGATAAAAACACGGGGTCCGACGGCCATAGGCCGCGCTCTTCCCTCGGCCGTGACCGTGACCCGGGCCCGGTGACAGTGACCTCTGGCTGGTCGGGGTGGGGTGGTGCTGCACTCTTCGGAGGTAAGAGGGGAGTGATTGTGACCTGTCGTGGTCGAAAGAGACGGGTGTCGTGGTCGAAAGAGAAAAGAGACGGGAGACCCACGCAAGTTAGTAGGAAGCCCGATGTCCTTCACAGATATGGAAGAAAGCCGCTGTGACCTGAGGTTTTAATATAGAGGCAACAGCCCTCAGCGATGAATGGTGAACGCAGTTTTACTTTTACATAATTATGTTTTACTTGTGGCTGGATTCCCATGACTCCAGAGGAATGATCTGACCCATTAAATATACCGGTGAAACATCAGCCTTTGATGCCTTCTCAGGGCATCGCATCGACAGTCGACGCGCCGTTAGACTTCACATATCACATATGCTGACTGCTGCCATGGTCACCTCCTGGGCGCCAGCTGGAGTGACTATGACCCCTTGGAGAGATTCACTGCGATGCCGTTCAGGCGTCTGGACACAATGTCTTCGTGAGGCGGAAGCGGGCAGTGTGAGCGACGGCGCGACGACTGGACCACCGCTTCCCGCGCGGCCACCAGCTATCTTATCTGGCCACTCCCAGCCGCCGGCTTCCCGTCTGCCGTGACAATATGGTAACGAGGGCTCGAGCGTGCCCCGTCACAGTCAGTACGGGTCGAGGTGAGTTGTTGGAAAGGTGTGATTTTATATGGCCAGGTCATAGACCGGTTATCGCTATCAGTTGGATCCAGAGCAATTGTGCCCTGCGAGTGCTTAAGCACCCCCATACAGGGAACGCTCCTGTCTATACACCGGGGCCAGCCTGAACGCGCGCAACTCATCCTGAAATCTGGATGTCTGGAAATCATAGTCTGGGTCTACGCCTGAAACGGAGCCGAAATGTCTACTCGTCTTCATAAAGTGTCATTTAAGGAGCTAATGTCATACAGTACCGTGCTCAGTAAGTGACTTTGCACCCGGACACATAACTGAACAACGACTTGCAAGCTTGTTGACAGCCAGTAACGATCTTATATGCTATAGCAACTCGATATTTTTCATTTATCGGCAGGGCTCCAGTCAATCTGTGGTTTGGCATAGTCTGGGGAAGTGTTAGCTTGTTTCTGTGACATGAGTCAAGTGAATGACGCTTTCCTCTCCTTGGTGGAGTCAGTTCTGATGAATCCATGCGTACTTGATAACACACTTTCGGTTGTCAGTCCACACCATTGTGCCTGCAACCTATTTTGCGTTAACACCCGCCCGGATGGCCGATTAAATACACTTCGCTCAGATTTGTTGGGGGTAAATTTGATCCCCTGATATCTCAGAAGCGAAGATAGCTGGAGACGCCGAGTCTACAGGGTGGATGGACCTGTTGTTGAACTCATTTGTACCAAAATTAGAGGTTCCTGAAACCTCACCTTGGGCTCAAATAAGATCAAGCAAAGTCAATCGCCAGCTTGTTGTCCAAAGTTCCCCAGACTTCCTCATGCAACAACCATGAACTTAGATATCTGTTTTAAGCAAAAGGTCAATAGCACTCATGAAAAGTAAGTGCTGTTGTTTGACCTTTTGAAGAGCAAGGTAACCAAAAACCTACACAAAGACTTCTATTTTGCCATTCAAATAAGCATAATGGATTAAACCACAAATATTTTCCTAAGACATAATAATAATAACGCTAATGTGGGCCATGGTAGGGCAGTGCTCTGCACTGACATTCAAAAAGTTAATGGAATGTGTCTATTGCGGTCACTATGATGCATACATTCAAAATGGGCACCAGAGACTACCCCATAAAGTAATTTCTGGGGTAAAAGCAGCCTAGTTTTGACCTTTGTCTGACCTTTATACCGGACCTTGATGCAATAAAATTTGTTGTAATTTCAAACTGAATTGGTTAAGTGCTGAAGAATGCATCTCGGAGATGTATGGTTTCATTTAACACTCCGTGTTGTGTCATATGTAACGATTACCCTAAAATGGCCTTCGCTGAAAGCCATGGTCTGACTTTGAACAACCATGGATAAAGGACGTTACAAGGTATATTTAATTGCTTTTAGCAAAAGATCCGCTGCTAAATTTCCTGCAGTTATGCGAAGTTTGGTGGGGCTGCACCGCACCTTTTGGACGTCGATCTGGAAACATCCCTAAGGGGTAAGGGGTTCAATTTGATGCGCACCCGAGTGGCTGCTAATGCACGGCACCGTCAATATCAAGGACAGTTTTACTAAAGGACAGGTTTGGGTGCCTCGAGCAGAAAACACCCGACGCTAAAAAATGCATTTTGTTTTGTTGGACAAGCGTTTGCAAAATATAAGAATAGCGTGAGGATGCGCGTCAAATTTTATAGATGAAAAAGTTTGTGCGGACGATAAATCGCCTGTCAATAACGAACCATTGCTATCAAAATGATTTAGTCCTAGCGTTTTACTGACATGTGTTGAGGGTAATCTTTGAAGTATCTGGTCTGAGATGATCTTTAAATAACTTGCTCCATACATTTGGAGTTCTATCATCAGGTTCTAACGCAAGCAGAGCTTATCGCGTCAGCGCTGACTTCGCTATTAGATCGTAGAATTCCAAGAAAACGGCAGGCTATTGCGGCGAAAGTTTGATGTGGTTTAGTGGTCGACACAGTTTGTCCTGACCTTTGATGTCATGTGACCTGTGACGCTATGCTCGGAATAACGCCATCGGTAAATGTTAATATGTCATAGCTTGAAGACTTCATGGACTGGTAAAGCCCAAAGGTGTCCGTATGGAATGGGTAGTTCGTTGGGCTGGGCACTAGCTTTGGAAAAATTACGGATGTGGATCAAATATCGGGTCGATGCTTCAAGAAATGCTACCCGGTGTTACTTATTGCTCTTTTC